ACCGAGTCCGTTACTGTGCAACCGGTGTACCACACTCACCTCGGACGCTACAGATTGTCTACAATGGCGGGTATTTAAAAATAACAGCCGCTACGGACAATTTCGTCGTTAATCCGACCAATGTGACATGTTTTACATTTTCGCCGCTTCTGCTTTACAAGTAATTTGTATGTTTATTTGCCGATGTTTGTATTCCCATTAGTTATAAACACACGTGTATTATATACCCTTTTGGCCTACAATATTTAATTTCTGCATGCATCAGCGTTCATTTTTTCCGTCGAATGGATATATCTATAGCTATTAGGTGTCGATAAATCGAGGTACTGGGCAATCGACAGCAATAGGGGCTTGGTTATAATTGCAATAGGCCACGTTTTCTTCTCAAATTTCTTAAAAATGAGGAGCTTATCAATTTATAAACTGCATTTAAACTTCATCGGACACAGACAGTGTATTCTTACGTATACGTAATAATAGTATGCGTAGTGGATATATCACATGGACTTATATTAATTCATTCCTGTATATCTAGCGGATTTCGCACTTGTCTGCAAATTAGACAGCTATTAGATATCGATAAATCGCGATACGGGCCAATCACTGAAATTGGTAGCACTGGATCCTTTTCGTTAACAGACGGTCCATTTATTACGTTTTATCCACTTACGCTTGTTTATGAGTGTAATGTGAAGGCGTTTAATATGAAATACTTTGTTCAATCTATGTACAATTGTCCGTCTTTCTCCAACGACTTTTCTATGGGAAATAAATATAGGATTCTAGGCATGTATCTAGGGTTCTAGATATCTATGATGAGAAAAGAGTGCGGTCTTTTCACTTACATATGTCAGCTTCTTATAATACTTAACCAACATAGGTTTATTAAATTAATGATTTTACTGTGTTCATAGAAAAAATGTGCGCGACGTCGCAATTAACCAGTGCGGAACATATTGCGTGTTCACTGGGGGCACTGCCAGCATCAAGGGCCTACCGAAGAAACCGAATTTTCTTGACTTAATGCCTCAAGTACGAAAATTCTTGCGTAGAATTTCACAACCTGATCGGTGCCCATGTTTTTTGATGGGTTTTTGGACTGCGTTGTCAACTTACGAGTCGCTCACTTTTCTCTTCTTTCTAGTAGTTACTCTCCTTCCTTTATCGCCGTAATGGCCTCTGTGCCGACGTCTTTCAACGAGGCTATACGCAATTTCGATCAGCGTCGGCTTAGGCAAACAACAGTTCAAGTCCGAACATCAGACGGCCGTGCCAAAATAACAGACAGATATGACAACCAGCTTTCCACAATTTCTGGTCGTCACTTTAACGACGACATTTCCCGCTATGGATTCATTAGCAACCCATCCCCTGATCTGCAGGTTGCTCAGGTTTCTACGGACGACTTGACCTTGTGCTTCGGTTCTCAGGATGTAGCGGGAGACCTCAATACACTACAACAGCATGGCATAACACACATCATTAACTTGGTTTCCAGCTATGTGCCAAACTACTTTCCTAATTGTTTTGAATACCTCTCTTTGAATGTGCGCGACGATCTGAATTACAATCTCCACAGTGCAATTAATGCGTGTTTTGACTTTATCAACAGAAGGGTACTCCCACAGGGCGGAAAAACCTTTATCCATTGCAATGCCGGAGTTTCCCGTGCCCCATGTATCGTTATCGCCTCCCTGATTCGTAAATGTGGTCTGTCCTACGATGACGCTTATAACCTCGTTGCTAATGCTCGAAATATATCGCCAAACCTTAATTTTAAAATGCAGTTACGCGCCCTCGCAGCAGAGAACCCATAATGCCCCTTGTCTTCCAGTCTGGACAATTAATTTGCTTTCGCCATGCTTTTTTTTTACTAACCTGAGTTAAGTTCTGCGAAAATATTATAGCTCCATTTTCGTTGGCCATTATTTTGCTTTTATCTTTAAATATATTTAGTTTTGAAGACTGTCCAATCTTTTTTATGAATACGCTGTTAAATATCTCTCGGTACCTTCCGGATGATGCTTCATAGATTAGGCCTTTGTCGTCCAGATGAGTAGGGGGCAAAAACGAAGAGAAACGAGTAGTCCTACTCTGGTGATCGGAATAATATTATCAGGTACCTAACGCGCCGAAATGGCAGAATACAAAGTTCCTCGAAAACTGGGCGCCAAGGCCGTACCGCAATTGTGCCCATTATAAAATATCATCCAAACTGTCATCCTTTATTACCTCCATCCTTGCAAGTACAAGGCAGAGGAAGACGTCGAAAGCTTTCTTAGGCGCGGCCAACTTCCATAAATAAGTGGAACAACATCGTCCAGGCTAAATATTGGACTACTTGCACTCTGTGCTATTGTTATCTGGCGGGTCTCGATAATATCGCATCTTGTACCTCTCCATGCGTGAACACGTGCAGCAGCAAATTTCGACAGCTCAACCCAGCGACAGAAACCGAATACAGAAAGTAAAAGCAGGGCATCCATAAGTAGTGCGCCCCATGTGCTCCTATTACCCTTTTCTGTGCCTCTGCTAATGGGTTCGAGAGGGAATCCGAAATGTCAGTTCCATTGATCGTGTCTGCATCTTCGCGATTACTTCCCGGAATTCGCCCCTTCGCTTCTACTAGAAAACCTCCATCTTGGCGAACCTTATCGAGCCAGGTTGGTCTAAGATATCCTCGTGATAATATAACGGTATGTGCGGATTGCCTCATTTGAGACGAAGCCAGTGTACTTCGCTCGAAGGATGTTCTTCGGGCAACACTGGTCAGATACCTCTACTCCTCAATCAACCTCCACGTACAAAGTCGAGCATTCACAATCGTATACACTTTCTAAGGGTTGAGAAGTCTGCGAGTAGCATGGATTTGATAGACAATGTCGTCGTAACTGTGTGCATCGGGTAACGGTCCAAACATAATTTAATTGAAACTGTCTACTTCAAGTTAACAGTCATTAATCCCCACGGGTACCGTCTGGTCAGGAATGCTGCCCGAAAAAATTAAGTCTTTCGCGTGTTTATGGACAAGCCGACCGAAGCAGCTATGTTATATCATCCGTGGCATCGCACATTGTAGACCGCAAAAACGTAAGGTTAGCAAAGGAGTATCGTCAGTATAGTCCAGCTCACTCAGCCAGTGTTCGGGTCCAGGCTCCACACCACCGACACTGTGTAAAGCCCTTCCAGGGATCCAGAAAATGATGCAATTTAACAGGGCAAGCGACACGACGCAATTTTGATAAACATCAGATCGGA